AGTTTATGTGCTAGCAGTTGGACTACCTCAGTCATCGCTCATATATTGGAAAGGGCCCTAATTGAGGAGGGAAGGGGCTTACAAGTTTTCTAGACTCGCAAAGATCTTAAAAAAATAGTGCAATATAATGGCATAAATAAATAGGTAAATTTGCTGATCTACAGCTTCTTTTGTAGACTGCACTGGACAACCAAGCTGCTATACTGTATCAGGCAGGTCTGTGGTATAGCTGTACTGAAACAGCAAGAAAAGTAGGATTTCTGTTGTGTAGACTTGGCTTTATATTTTTCTTTTTTCAATTCTACCCTGAAGCTTACACAGTAAAGAGGACTAAAGATGAAATGTCACTGATTGTTTTTACTTTGTGCACAGTAAATGTCACACAAGAAGAGATTACTAGTTCAGGATAAGATATCCTACCACACAGGAGCTTATTGCTAGCACTGGTTTGAAGCCTGTGTTTGCTTTCTGCAAAATCCAACAGAATGAGGCAATAGGAATAGCCTTGATCATTGTACTTCGAAATAAAATAAGGACCTGAGTGATTGCAACTCAGCACCTTAATATTTGCTAAGCAAAGCCAGCATAACATTTTGGTATAGTGTTAGATTCAGTTACATCACCACTAAAACCTACAAGCTCGAATCAGAATTGATTTCTGCTTCATTAACTGACTGATTTTAATGTAAATATCACAGTCATTTTTGCCTTTGAGAAGCAGATTTAAAAAAAAAAAAGCAAACCTGGCATTTGCTGTGTCACTGAGCGCCTGAAAAATATCAGTGTAGCTCAGTGAGGTGGTTTGGTTTTTCTGTCTTTTAATTCCATCAGCTCCAGAACACATGGACTTCAGCTATTCATTAAAAAAATTTCAAACCCTTTTACTATACTGTGATCGCTTTATTTTCGAAAAGAACAGTCCAAGGCTTTCCAGGTTTAGCTTCCAGGCATAAACAAACTCAGTTGGGTGAACCTATTCAGGAGCATTTAGCATCCATTCCAAGAAAAACATTATATTTGCCCTAACAAAAATAGTGTCTGAATACTATTTCATTTTATTGATTGCTTCTTTTCATTTTAGCACTATATTTTCATCGTTACTTAAGGTCTCCATCCAACAAGTTTTTGGCCTGGTAACCAGCAAATGAAGTTGGAAAACTGCCTGAGATTATGAAGCAGACAATACAATCATGTACCAAGTGAGTGTCCAATGTGTTGCTTCAGCTGTACTTAACACTTATAAAGCGACTCTGACATCAGTGCCTGATAGATTTTAGTTTACGCTAAAATGAGGTGGAAAGAATGGGCATGAATGTGCTTTGTAGATAACATATTCAGCTAACAAAGAGGCAAAGAGGAAACTGGGACATCAAATTGTTCTAGAGATCTCCTATGTACTGCTAAGAAGTCAAACTAAATGGTGTTTTCAAAGTCTCTATATTAGCCTTCTCTTAGTGATGCCAGTGGTAAAACTCCCAGTGGTTGCAAAGGACATCAGGTTAGGTCACTGTTCTTTAGGCAACTGAAAATGCTACCTTTTATTTTAAGTATTTCTTTGTGTCCCTAGTGTCATACTGGTGTCCTCTGGGCCTTAAAATTCAAACTTGCTTCCTGCTTCCCTGAGCTTGTCTCATCACTGTGCTGGCACACAGGTGGACTCCACTTTGATGCAGCCACAGATTTCCCCAGTTGTGATGAAAGGGCTGCTGTACATTTGAGCTGTTGCCTCCATGTAGTCTGGTTATGCTCTCTGGACTAATTCCCTGACTGTAAAATACAGATAATGGCACTTCCCTGCCTGCATGGGTTATGTGGATTCCTCAAGCTTTCTAGGGATAAAAGCCAAAAAGTAATGTAACAGGTGATGTCTTGCTGCATATTTTATCTACTGGCATAGAAGCATTACTCCATTATTCAGAAAGATGGAGACGCAGACAAGAAAAACAAATTAAAAGCAAAGAAAAAAGCACTATTAATAATAATGAAGAAAAACAAAATGGCATATGACTTGATTTCTAAAAAACAATAAAAATCCCTGCAGATCCACAAGCCACTACATTAAATATGATTCTCCATATGATCAAATGAGCTTCTCTCAGCTTGCCTACCTTACTGCTTGCTTAAAGCCATTTACATTTTTTCTTGTCTGCACATACCCAGAATATGAGAAAGACTACTCAGTGCATGTATTCTAGTAGTTCCCAGACAGTCAAGTTGAAAACTTCTGGAGCATTACCTATCTGAAGAGGAGACGTATCTGGCAATCAGTAGGTGATACACAAGGAGAACCACATGGGCACACGTGCACAAATAAACATAATAGGAATCAGTAGAGAAACATTTTTGAAAACAATGAGAGAAGCATTTTTCTAAATTTGCTGACTAGAGATAGAAATATTTCCTTACAAACTGTAATCAAGTATGATACAATGGAAAGTGGTAAATTTGTCTCTTTTTTGCTGAATCACTGTCAGTGCTGTTCTCTCAGATACATCTGGGTGAAGTTGCTGAAGAACCGTCAGGAGCAGTCAGACGTGGGGTTTCCTTCTGGCAGGTTGGGACCAGTGCTGTCTTCTTCAGGCTTTTCTGTTGCTTGAAGGGGAAAGGAAGGAAGCACAAGAATTTTGCCTGGGGACAGAATCTAGTTGTTAAGAGCTGTGCTGCAGCTCTCCACCTCTGTGTACAGTTTCTCTAGATCAGCCATCACAATACTAGTCAAATGCTAAATCAGATAAATTAAGACAGCATGAAGTGAACCAGTCTTCGGAGTTGACAGTACGCTTTATCCTTATCTTGCTGCAAGTGTTGCTTATTGAGCTTACTGCACTACTTGTGTAGTAGTTTGAGCAGCACTGTGAACATGAGGAACATAGCAGTTGTTACCTCAAAGTGTGAGAATATTTGGCACAGAAGGATAAATCTTCTCAGTCTTCCAGGGCAGAAGAATCTCTTAGAATCTGGCCTCTCAACTCCAAGTGCCCCACGTTCTCCCCTATAAATGCAAATTTTACTTCCATTTACATAATCTACAAAATGTGTAGGCAAAAGGCTTTGCTACTGTACTGTTTTGCACTATAGGTGGTACCTTACTAGTCATATGCAAAAAGCAAACCCCACTGCTTGCTGTCCTTTGAAAGCATGGCTTTTATTTCCCAGCAGTGGTGTAATGTTTCTTCTGGAGTGCCATTTACTGAATCTTTTTTAAAGTGTACATTTTTAAATGAAATTATTTGGCATGCAGTTTGTGACAAGATAAGGCAGACATATAAATGATTTTTTACTCAGAGTCACAGCTCCCAGAGTTTTATTTATGCTAAGCTTTGAGATGTTTTTTCCTGAGGGAGCCAAGCTGTTACATATTATCTTCTAAATCTACTTGGTATTCATATTTCACTGCCAGCTGTAATTAAATATTAGACATTTTCATTGTTGTTATAGAGCTGAATTATTCTAAAGATAATTATTATTGAATATTTCAGCATACATACTGTACTTTATCCATTTAACACACACTAAAAGGATCCCAGATTGCAGTACCAAGATCAACTCTATTTTAATCTGAAAGATGAAGATGATTCAAGGTAAAGAGAATTCAATTAACAAAGGCAAACCTAGATGTAAAAATATACAGACTTCTTTTTTGGTTTATATCACCATAATAAATAATCTTCTTGGAACATATAATTAAATTTTAGTGTTTACAGAGTGTATTGCTAGTAGAGAACATAAACCCACAAGCTCTTGGATGCCCTCAGGTTGGTTTCCCTCTTGTTTTGTGCTTGGTCCTGTTTCTCTTCATTACCCCCATGGGTGCCTGGGACAACTTGCAGAGATACGCATGACCATGCAGAGGAAATGTTTGCCAAGTCTGGCTTCACGGACGCTAAGCAAGCAATGCCAGTTCATAAGTTTCAAAAAGAGGAAGGCTTCCTTCTACACATAAGCAACAGAGCCAAGAGCGTGTGGGAGTTCTGCAGTCCTGTTCATCCTGTCAGGAGCTGCACTCTGTCTCTGGCAATGATGCTGCCATCACACTTCTAGCCATAACTAAGTTTACTTAAAACTCTGCAGGTCCCATCATACACATGCACGACAGGTCTCTGTGCAAGTCTCTGAGGCTATTGAACAAATTATGTAGCTAAAGTTGGGTGAGATGAGTTCCATTCTGATATTTCACAGCTGAAATAAGAGTAACAGCCTGAATAAACACTGCAGACTTAGTTTGTTCTGTTTCATTTCAAATTACAAATTAATTAGGGCTTTTTTTAAAGTTTTAGATTTTTTTTCAAAAAAGGCATTTTCCAGTTTAGGAAATCTTAGATCCAGTTCACACATCTCTATAGGAATTCCAGCATCCTTACAGTGTCATCTGAGGATTAAAACTGATTTTTCATGTCCTGTAAATTGTGCAAACTATGAGACTCTCACTGTAAACAGAAATCAGGTTTACAGCCTATACCATCTCAAACTTTGTGGATGTATGCATACAGATGTATATGCATTAAATGAGAGAAGATCAGGATGTGTTCTATTAAAATCTGGCGGATTCACACTTTCTTTTTAATGGCAGGATGTAAATCTATACTGAGTGAAGCAAACATATGTGACAAGGACCTATCAAGTCAGTCTCTAGAAGTGGATAATCTTGAGTCAATGCTGGAACTCCTTTCTTTATTCACCTTCCATGCCCTTGCTTATGTCTCAGATGAATGCTCATAATCCCATTCTCTGACAAGTTCTTCCTAAGAAAGAGATGTTTCTAGTCTAGCCTTATGAATCACACCTACCATACCCTTTTCAGGCCAGAAAGAAATACAGGAGCTGATCTATAGTCCATTGACTTCAATGGACCTTGATCCAGGGGCATAAATTACATTTTTCTACATGACGATTAAAACATTGACTTGTTAGGGCAGTCTTTAACCCAGTGAAACTGCCTTACAGTGAACAAGTTTTTCTTCCTCAATCAGACAGACATAAACACACACACACACAAAAACAAAGATTCAGACTTCTTTTATTCCCAGTGTTTGTGGATATGAAATATAGTGATGAGCTCCTAAGTAACACGCTATCAAAGTAAAATTAAGCATTGTGATTATGTCCCTAGCCTGTTGGCAACAAGCCATATAAATTATAAAATAGACCCAGGTATAAGAAATCGAACCATGAAATAATCAGGGCTCACAGTAAAATACTGCCATTAAGATAATGTACTTAAATGAGCTACATTGATTGAGTCATTCTGTTGCATCCCTGCACTTTAATGTAGCTAGCCACTTCTGCATACATATTAGCTCACCAGTGCCAAAAAGGAAAATGACCTTTAAGAAATGGCCATTGTCCTCTCATTGTCACTTTCTTTCCTCTCATTTTCTTAATTCTGCCTGATCACTCTCTCATTTTTGGTACCTCATGCCTTCATCCTTTTGTTTCCTCAGACTTTTAATGTCACTCCTAGCTGACATAGTCGAATACTCCACTTCTTTGCAACTGGACATTTTTGTAGTAAGCCTGGACTTCCTTATACCTCAAGCTTCTTGCTCTGCACTGAGTGATACCAGGCACATCCGTATTTTCAGGACTCTACCGTCATGCCATATAAAATATTAATTCAAAGTTGATAAAAGAAGTCCATGGCCCTGGACTTCATTGTGTGCTAATAGTATGTTTTAATCAAAGGGCTAGTTTCTTAGCTGGGAGTTCAAATCAGTCAATGAAATACATGACCAACATCTTTGTACTCACTTTTTATTCAAATGAAAAAGGAAACAAAGTTTAACATTTTGACCACTGCATTTATTGTGTTGTCTTTTTCTTTGTTTGTTTGTTTTTCAAAACTGAATTGTGCAAATCCTTAGTGGCATGTTGGATATGGACAGTACCCATTTCATTTCAGAATAGACAGTGTGTAAAGCACGTAAAACAGTAAGATTGTTCAGGCTTGGAAATGCTAGTAAGCTTTACTTACTGTGTTAACATTGTAAAATGAAAGATGTCTTTCTGCCCCTCAGTGAATGTATTTAGCTGTGAATGTATTTTCAGAAATACAACCATATTCTACTTGGAGAATGATGGTAGGGAAAACCCCTGAGAAGTCCTGCCTCCCCTTGCCATGTCCAAAGTACTGCTGTAAGCACAACACTTAATCAGAACCACTGCAACAATGGTCATGGTTAGAACTGAAACTGCATCCTTAGTTAGTCTTCCAATGGTAACAAAGTCTGTACTGAATATGTAGGCAGGTTTCGTGTGGTGTGTTAGAAATACACAAGCACAAATATTGCATAAAGCTGGATGTTCTGTTAGAATTTGGCTAGAAAGCAAGACCCCTACAGAAGGAACCCTGTTAAAATTAGGAAGGAACCCTGAGAAAACACTGAAGAGCCACAGTCTTCCCTGTGCCAAAAGAGCTGTTAAGAAATATTGCCTCAAAATCAAAAACCGTGCTGAATGAGCAAAGGAGTGGGCAAAGACAAAACAGCTCATGCAGGGGACACTCTCCAACCCCGCTGACACACACACACTCACACACACATATACAGGCTGCTGTCTCTTGCAAGAGTTGTTGATTCCTAACTGTAAATGTCAAGCAAAGTTCCTAATGGAACTTTGTCTGCTCTCCATGAGACAGACTGTGTAAGTCCAGAAAGGTGTAGTTTACCCCTCTTTGTACTACAATGGGCAAGTTTGTCCATTAAAACAGTTACTCTTTTTACTTAGTGGATTTAAAAACTTCAATGCGATTTTGGTATGATTGCATGTGCAAGAAAGCAAAAACCAAAAAACTTGGCCAACTTCTGAACTCTGTGACCCTGAAACCACTGGTAATTTTGTTTAAGCAAGGGGTTCAGAAGTTTGCCCTGATGAAAACAAGCTTTACGCAGCAACACAGGCTGGCCTCAGCACCACTACTCAAACCAGTGATCTCCCATGCAGGTTCTGTTCCACTCCAGGCCACAGTTCCAGCACCACTCAAATCTACACTGAGGGCGAGGACATTTCATGTGCATGCAGCCACCTGCAAAACAGCAACAGAATTAGATAATTTAATTGAGAATTATCGGTGTGAAAATCAACTTTCTTAGGTGCTCATTTATTAACTAAGTAGAATGTTTAATAAAAGAGAAGTACAAACCTGAAGAATATTTTTCCTGAGCTTTCTAAAACTTGCTACTCCATTTCATATTGGGGTGTAATGTGTTGGTCTCCCTTAAGGGACTGCAGGAGTAGGAGGAAATTAGAAATAACTGTACTAGGGTCAGCAAAAAGAGATGACAGTCTGTGGCCTCTGAAAGCAGACATGGAGGTGTCTCCTCAAGGATACTCTACCTTAGTCCAGCTGTGAGCCAGAAGGCGAACAAAATGCAATTCTTTTTTGAAATTGGATTCAACAATTTAGGGATTTGCAGAGAGTAAATCAGGAGATACAGAATTTGGTGGCTGACTTCTGATTATATCAAAATGACAGTAGTAATTTAAGTTGATTTGACCTTCTTAGTATCTGAAGCAGTCTTTTGATCGTGTGTTTCCTGTGTGCTGAATTTCTTACTTGCCCATACTGTGAGAGCGGCTTTAATCTCTGCCCACAACCTTGATCAAATGTTTATCTTGTAATATATAAAACATTAACATTGTCAAATGTCATTACAGAAATATACTTCAAATGGAAATTATGTTGCTTACCACACAAAGAGATGTCTTGTCTAATTCAAACTGAAAGAAAAGCATAGAGTATGAAGAAATGCTGAAATGTCATCTTGGTTTGACTCCAGATGGTGATAGGAGGTACAGGGAGTGCTTGTTCCTGACTGTATGACCTGTTACCCTTACACCACCATTTTTATAAATACCAATCCAGAAGGATCCTCAGAAGGTAAAAACAACAGGAGACACAAGAACTGGTCTGTTAAAATAGGCCTGTCTGCTTCATTTGACAGAAAGAGAAAACTAGCTGTGATGGCATGGTCTATTTAACTATTTATATCTTTTTTTAAGAGATGCAATTCACCAGACATTTTTATCTTATTTAAATGTAAGCGTACCAATGGCCAGCCTCCATGTCACACTTTACTTATGGTTTAGGTCCAATCTTCTCTTCTGATTTGTATTAAGCAATCACTGGGTAAAATACGTCTCAGTCCTGGTGCAGGACTGAGACCTGTGGGTACCTTGTGGTCAAATACGTGCTCTACCTGCTAAACTACATAAATCATGTTATTCTCTGCTACATGGCAGTTGAGATCAGCAGTAAGAGTGGAGAGTGCCTCAAGCAGCATGGCTTACAGCTTTGTGGGTACAGCGGTCCTCTGAGAGATATGGATGGGTGTTTAAACTCACTCAGAGTGGGAAAGTGTTTCACTTTTTCACTTTGGCTAATACAGAAATGTTATTGGTGTACTGAAGTATTCTACAATGCCTATAGCTATACAGGCTATTATAGAAAAGTTATTGACATAGAGAAATATAGGCTATTACAGAAAAGTTATTGGCATCGTCACCGTCCCTTGTAAAAGACAGTGTCCACAGAAGCATTTGGGGAGTGAAGACACAATTATTCTTTTGTGTGGACTCAGTGTACTCCTCCCAAATGAGGACTGCTGGAAGACAGTGTACAGTTGTCAGCCTCTTGACACCTGCTGTACTTAGGCAGGAGTGAGGTGATCCTTTCAGCTGACAAATGTCAGCCTAGAAGGTGGCACGTGCAGTACCCATGACCAGAGAAGAAAGCAAGCACTGCACTTTTTAAGCTTCACTCCTTAATTCGCAAGATCACAGAATCACTGAAGTGGGAAAGGTGACTTTAGAGATCATCCAGTCCAAACCCCACTGCTCAAAGCAGAGACAACAAAAGAAGGGCTATCAAGGTTGCATGCAGTGAGTTTTAAATATCCTAGAATGGAGACACTTTCTGGGGTATCTGTTCCAGCCTTCAATCACCCACATGGTAAAAGCATTTACTTATGTTTAAGTGAAATTTCCTGCATTTCAGTTTGTGCCCATTGCCTTCTGTCCTTTTAGTGGGCACCACTGAGAAAAGTTTGGCTCTGTCTTCTTTGCTCCCCACATCAGGTATTTCTGCAGTCCTTTTTTTCAACTTTGTAACCTTCCATTGGACTCACTCCAGTCTGTGTACAGGGAAGCCCAGAACTGGATCCACCACTGTAGATGTGTCTCCCTGACCTGCTGCTGGTCATGCTCTTCCTGCATGGTGCTGCTGGCCACCTTTGCTGTAAAGGCATGTTGCTGGCTCATGTCCAACATGCAGTCCACCAGGACACTCAGGTGCTTTCCATCCTTTTGGCCCTTAACCTGTACTGGTACATTTCCCTTTATTGAACTTCATGAGGTTTCTCTCAGCCCATTTCCCAGTCTGTCAAGGTCACTCTAAATGGCAGCACAATCGACTGATTCCATTGTGTTGAAACTGTTGTGGCTTTGGCATTTTGCATTATGAGGCATTGTTCTGACATGGATCAGGGTATAAGCAAGCAAAGGTCTTTTCCTGCTCATTATCCGTTTTCAGTAAATATTTTCTTTCAAAGATAAAAAGTATAATGGCCTTTATTTCCTTTTTGATACACTGGGGATTTTACAAGCAACTTCTCTGAACATTAGTGGGAGTTGTGTAAATGGTGTCAAATAGGGATATCCTGTTTGTGACAAGTGACAACCTCCTGAAATTTAACAGTAAAGATTTTGTAGTAGAGTCCAAGGGAAGGTAAAGTACTGCCTCAAGTCTGTCCAGAAGTCTTTTTTATTTGGCTGCACACAAACTGTTAAGTATGAAAACTCAGGATTATTATTTGCCTGTTTCTAATCCAGTTCAACTTCTGTTTTCCAGCCTGTTTTACAAGCCTGTAAGTAATTTTTTTGACCTACCCCTCTGTTATCTCTCCTCTGCTGCCTACCTTGCTCTCTACACTTTGCCAAATCTTGTCTCACCTTCCCACTCTTGAATTCATGCTTTCTTTCCTTCTGCTTCTTGTGCTTGAAGAAGTCTCCCACTTTCCATCTGCCAACTGCCTTCTCTTCTTTCATCAAACCCTAGATCTCAGGATTTTGTCCTATTTCTTCCTCAGTAATATTACTGTGGTATCACTATTTGAAGTGTTCTTGCAGTTTACAGTGTCTTACTTGGTGTTTTCAGCATCCCACTGGAGTAAATGCCACAAAACTGAGAGGCATCCTCCATACTTAATATTTCCATTATATATAGGCAATAATTTGGGTATATTTTAATTAACATAAATACAATTAAATTTTGGAACAGTATGAACCTTTAGGGTTCCTTTTCCCCATTTTAACCACCCAAGTGCCAGTAGATTGCTTACGTTCCTACATAGTAAGCATTGACTAGTGCAATCAGTTTGGCAGAGTTCATGTTTCTTCCTCTAACTTGTTCTTCTACTATGGGCATGTCACTGGGTTGAGATTAATCTCATCTAAACTCAGCTATATACTGTGTAGAATTCCGCAGCAGGACTAATTATCACACCCCACTTTTAGGTGCAATTCTTATGGCCTACACTAGACGTGCATTCTGTTTCATTGTGAGATGAGTTTTACCCTACAAATGTCTATGTTTTACAGTGACAATGAAAAATCTAGACAACTAGATGAATATTCAGTCATATGAATGCTACATCCAGTGTCTCTCTAATGCCTCATTTTCCTTAGCTATAAAACAGAGGACATTTTGTGAGGCTTAAGTAGTGGCTTTAGAACTACGTGATTTAGATGTAGTGATTTCAAGATAGTTTAGTTAAAGTGACAGGCATTCTTTGGAATAATAGTGTGCGTGTGTACATATGAACATTCATACATTGATATTATAAAAAGAATTTTAAAAGATAGTTAAGAATGAAATATCTAATAAATTTACCGTTTTTCTCTACTGGAATATTGCAGTTGGGGCATGGCTTAGTTGTCTTCTTGATTGTTTCTCTAGATGCCTCTTCCCATCGAGCTTGCATGGCTGCATGTTCATCAACTACATATCCCTGCAAAGAGCGAAAAAAACCACCTGTGGGCACAACACTGAAAGGCTGTACCGGGACATGATATCTACATTGAAGCAATAACTATCTATCCATGAGAAACAGACAGGAGTGATTGCCAGGCCAGGTAGGTTGGACTTGTTGAGAGATGCAGAACTTTGCTTCAAAATGCAAACTTCTTTTCTCCCAGTGTATTGGGTTAGATCCAGGGCTGCAGGATGGTGGGAGGAGATGCTGCAGCTGGAGCATGTGCCATCCCAGGGGTCCTTCTTGCATCCAGCTGCAGCACAGGCTGCTTCCTCCACCCTGCTCCCTGCCCCGAGTGGAAGGCAGAGCCCACAGGAGGACACAGAAGGCATTAAGCCATGCTGCAAATGCACAAAGACAGGTAAAGCAGAAGGCAAAGAGAAGCAGGAGTCAGATGAACCCAGCTGAGGTGTGACATGTTAACACCACAGGTTTGATTCTGCTTCAGGAATTAAAGCCCTCCTTGCAAGGAAGGCCAAAACATCATGGCTATGAAACACTTGGTAACACAAAATGGTGGGGTCCCCGGAAGGAAACTCTTTTTCATAATAAAGCATAATCCTTTGTTCCAGAGGTCTAAATGTCATTCAAACATAAATCCATACAAATTTAAGAGGCCTTAAGAGGCACAAAGAAGAAACACAAAAAAATTTGGAGAAAAAGTAAAAACACCCAACCCTAGTGAACAATGAAAGCAAGTAGCTCCACAGATAGAGCGACACAGATGAAAAAAGTCATCATGAAGAGGGTTTTAAAAGGGACTCCTGTGTTTGTCCTATTTATGACTGGGACAAAATTATGTAATCTACACAAGTGTCCTACTTGGCAATTTCCTACCTAAAATGGTAGTACAAGGACAAAGGAGATGGCAGTGCCTAGGGTCATTTATATCACACAAGGTTGGTAACTACGTGAATAGCAGCTGTAAACAATGTATGTAGGTCCCAGCCTTGAAGTTCTGCTCTGTCCATTCATGGTGTGGTTTGTTGTTTTTTTTTTTTTGAGCATGTGGGAAAATAATGAGCTTAAACTAAATTACATCATTTGCAAAAATTCCCCTAACTTCTTTGTGTATATCTTCAACATACTTGTAGGCTGTACATGGATATTTTAAATATATTTATTTCTATCAAGACAGAAAAATAAAACTGGCCCAGTTTTGAAACATGCAGCACAATCATTACTGCTTGATTTCTGCTCAGCTAGTAGAGGTTTTACTTAGATAAAACCTATGAGTTGTTGCAGTGTCAGTGAGTAAGACCTAGATTTTATTTCTTAGCTGAAGTCACCTGAGTTAAAATGGAATAACAAAGAACGATATCTGCAGAAACTAATTTCCAGCTCATCTGGTGGCCATTGCAAGGTGCATTAAAAACAAAACAAAAGAAAACAAATCAAAACAAAACCCCAAACCCACAAAAACCACAACCCCAAGCCTTTTTAATCAGAAAATCTCAACAATGGTATTTTTTTTTTTATTTTACTACCAACATCCATCTCCTCACACCTTGAATTGCTTTTGTTGCTCCTCACTTAATATTCTCCAACTTGCTGTTATTTTTGATGTCGAGGGGACAAAAGTGAACATAGTCTTCTCATCTGTATCCTTAGAAGTGACTTTTACTTTTGTTTTTCTGCATCTGGAGAGGGAACTCGGCTCTGCTCCCTGCTGGATTATTCAGCAGTTTGGCAAAAGGATGACCTCTATACAACATCACATTAGTAAGTTCTGGGAAATAGAAAAAGCAGCTCAGGCTAATAGCAAAGAACATTATCTAGTATTGATCTTGCAACACCTTGATCTTAAAGGATGACTTTAGTAAGCAATCTGAGATAACTCAGAGAGTCCTGAACACAATACGGGGAGAGTGGGGAACACCTGACCTGGGCCTCAGTTTGCGCAGTGACAGAATGAAGTTGACGTTAATTTGATCTCATTGTGATGGGAATTAATTGCTTAACATCTATACAGATGATTCAAGATGAAAATCAGTATAGCAGTGATAAATCTTTGCTATTCTTTTCAGAATAATAGCTATATGAGACCAGAACTATTTTTAGGTTGTAGTCAACCCAAAAGAGGTTCACAGTGGCTCTGTTTCTCTCAAATAGTCCAAATCCAAACTGTGTGGTTCAGCACTTGGAAACACACTTTTTCTCCATCTTCTTGTCTTTGTTGTGCCCTAATAGCAAATGAGAGTGAGGAAAATGTCACATGCCAAATTGCTAATTTGATTTGTATAGATACTTGATTTTAGTTCTGAAAACAAATGCAAACTTGTAAAAGCTTAGGAAGAACTAAAATAAACAACTTCAAAACACTCGTATGCAATTCACCAAGAAAGAACAAATTGCTGAAACAGCAGTCAATTATTATATCAATATTTTCCATTGCAAAAATTCTAGCATGAACTAGATGCAGCAGCATGATGTTTTCAGCCCGTTAGAGCTGAAATGTCCCTCCTGAGCCCAAAGCTGCTGAATGCTAAGTTAAAAACTTCCTGCTACAGGAAGCAAATGCAGAGTAGTACAGTGATGGAGTCCTGATTCAGTAAAGAAATCACACCATACTGATCTATGAGCCTCCAGTGTTCATGTGCTTTATTTAGCGCTCCACATACAATCGCTGCAAGCACACATAGATTTATCTGCATTTTTTCCTCAAACAATAAAGGAAAGGCTGTTCTCCATTACCAGTATCTACTTAAATCACATTCTTTCACCCTAAGATAGCAAATCTAGTCTCTTATTTGATAATGGCCTAGGTAATAGAGCAGGTTTATCAAGCAGAGGTGGCTCAGTTTATTTGGCCTCCTGATCTTGGGTAGGACGTTCAGAGATGCACATCAGTTTGCCAGGGAGAGAATACTTTAATCACGTGTGACACTGACCTCACACAATATGTTCCCCAATTACTACAAAATGTTTGCCCTAGTAGTGAAAAGCTACTAGATTCTACCCATGCCGCTTTATGAATTATTTTTTTTTTTAATGCTTAACTATGCTGCACATTATGACCAGGAATGAATGCCCCAAAATAACAGCAAGCTACAGTAAAAGCTGTTGCAAGCATTATTCAACATCCCCTCTGCAATATTCCTTGAGTGAGACAGTGGAAAAAGTCTGTCTTGCTATCTCTGGGTCACACTGAAGGGCATAGAGTTACTTCTGTTTCTACGCTGAGTCCTTTGGAAAAGTTAACAGGGATAAAGAGATCAGAGAGACTGCTGAGCACCATGCAGCAATACAAGAACATGTACATGAAAAGCTTTTTATGGAGTTAATCAATACCAGTGAGTACTGGAAAGAGTCTTACAGAGACAGAAAGCATCTTGAAACAGAAATAAAGTGTCCTTAAAGCAGCATCTCATTCAGGTAATAGTGGACACATCAACTTGTCGGTAGAACTACATAAAGTAAACCAAGTATGTGTTCAGAGTCAGCTACTAAGTAGAATTATAGAATACTTAAGGTTGGAAAGGACCTTAAGATCATCTAGTTCCAACCCCCCTGCCATGAGCAGGGACACCTCACACTAAACCATGGCACCCAAGGCTCTGACCAACCTGGCCTTGAACACCACCAGGGATGGCGCATTCACAACTTCTTTTGGCAACCCATTCCAATGCCTCACCACCTTTACAGTAGCACCATCTAGATAAAAGAATGATGGAAAAAGTTCTGTTCTGGAAGTATTAGATATATAATGTTTAAATCCAATATCTACTGCAGAATATAATGCAATATATAAGCACACCTTTTTATGATCATGCTTATTTTACCTAGCATAGAAAATATCTGAAAACTGAAGACCCTTGATTCAGAATAGAATATGAAGCTGTTAACATTATGCTGTGTTTAGCTTTAGTACATGTAATTTCTAGACTTCTGCTTCTTTGCTCTTGGTGCTTAATTTCTTTCTGATAAGCAAAACTGGTCATGCATAACTTCAAAAATGCATCCTAGTGCAGCTTCCTTTACATCAGAAATACCTATTCTTTTGATCAGAAATGCTCTGGTTTAAGTTAATTTTCCTTGGAAAAGTAAGATTAAAAAAAAAAAAAAGAAAGAAATGTGTAAAATGATGATTTTTTTTATGTGACATACAGAATTCTAGAAAGGTTCAAAACAGAGCATATTACTCATTTTCTAGCATGGATGTGAGAATCACTATGGATATTTGAAAATGATTGAAAGGAAAACAAAGAATAATTCATTGTACACAAAGCAATGTTCAGCCCACCATAATACTTAGATTATCACAGCCCACTAATTATTTTGGGCTAGAGCTCTAAGCAAAAGCAGCTTCATCTGTTGAAGCCTGATCCATGAGGGATGGTGACAGTCAGACTTGAATTTCCTTTGTTTTCTCAGTATCTACGGGGCTGTTTTGTGAACATGTTCACATGAATTAATCTCCTGTTGTGTTTAGCGGTGTCTTTTGCTTCAGTTGTGGGGAGTAAAAATAGCAGATGTCTAGGGCACTAGATAAATTGGAGGGACTTTGGGTTAAATGAAGTTGTTTAGGAGTAAAAATCTCACAGAGGTGTACATAGCTATAGGACTAATGTTCTAGTCTAGAGAAAGCTTTGGGCTAATTAAAACACTAAAATATGTCTATAGATAAGGAACAGGAACAATATCTACCAATGGGAATATGTTTCCCCAGAAAACAGAAGTGTCAGTGCCACAGGGACGCAGTTAAATTCACATGAAGCAGCTTTGCGCTAGCCAATTTGTCTGGTGTGCCTAGGTAATTCTGCCATTAAAAAGAAGTCACTTTTTGATGGCAGCAACTAGCTAAAATCAAAGTGATAGACACATGGTATTGTGTCTGATACAAACAAAAGAGACTTCCACAGAATAAAATCAGAGATCTCTGTTTTGGTGGCACTGTACATCAAGGTTCTCGCACTGCCTCTTGGGGCCATTCATATCATCATGAATTAAATTCAGGTAGTTGTGAATATTGAATT